TATTTTATATATATATATATCTTATATATATAAAAGAACCTGGGGTATCAGTTTCTTACAATTCTTTTGGTTTGGTTTTCCTTCTCCCCTCTCCCCCTTCATGCTTCACTCCATTCTCCAGGATTAGACTATTGACAACAGCATGAGGAAGCAATGGGAGACTTGCAGGCACCTGGGATTTCCTAAAAGGAATCTTTGGCAACTGTGTCCTTTTATTATTTATTTCCTTATTTTGAATTCCACCCCCCTCAAGCTGTCATTCCTTAGCAGTGCAAATGAAAAGCTGCTGTTTATGGGTGTACAACAATGGAGGCCTCTGCAGGCCAAATGGCTCCTGCAGTTTAATTTACTTTAATTCATTTTATATTGAACCAAATGATCTTATTTGCCTTTCTTAATGGAGAGCCTTCAGCAGGCAGGGTGGGAGCCAAACCCCCCTTCCAAAGAAATGATGAGCCCAGCTGCTATTAAACCTTGCTCTCAGCTGGATGTGCCCCTCAGCTCATGGGGAGGAAGGGACAGCTTTAGGCACAGGTATGCTCCTTCTCCCACAGCCTCTGATTGCAGAGGTGTAAGGTTGGAATCTGATATTGGGATTCCCTTCCTTTTCCTGCTTTTCTCTCCTATTTGCAAATTCTTTCCCTTCCTTCCAGCCTGACTGTAGTCTCACAGCCTCTCTTGGCACCTCTGTTTCCTGAGCTGGTTTGGAACCTGGGAAAGTCTTGGATTAAACAGTCAGATTTCCAATCTTCCTTCATTTTTTGGAGGGGTTGCTTGAAAAGATATTCCATTTCTGAGTAATTCAATCTTGGAGAGCTCTGGCTAGTTGTATTGTGATAATACAGCAGTCCTCATGCTTCACACTTGAAGCACTCATGATCACATTTACTGTCCTCTGTATTCTGATTGCAAAGACAGACTTTTTCTGCCTCTGAATTTTAGTTTGCCTTTTCTCAGATCATAAATCCTACGCTATAAATCCAAGATGGGCCTTTGATGCCATCTGAAACTAAATGTTGCCCTTCCTGTGATGGGGCCATACAAGGAATATAGACCTAGTACTTTAAACTGGGAGAACTGAGTGCTCTAGCCCAAATTCTTAGTGTTCAGCATCAAAATTAAAAGATGCATCTAACTGAGGTAAGACTTGAGTAGTAATCACTATTTTCATTAGTGATTTCATGCAACAGAGTAGGCTTATCAAATGTACAGTTGAAACTGAAGTGGGAAAGGCTGTAAACACACTGGGAAGAAGGATTATAATCCAAATTCATCTTTATAGGCTGGAGAAATGGTCTGGAAAATGGGGGGGACTGAAGAAAGTCCAGAAGAGAATAAGATCTGGAATGAATGATCTCTGAGAAAAAGGCTCAAAACTGGTGGTGTTCAGTCTACAGAGAAGCTGAGGGGAGAATGTGAAGACTTTGATGTGTAAAAGAAAGAATCTAATCTTGCTCCAATCACAGTGGATATGGAGAGGTAAGAGTCTTAAAAGAAAGACAGTCAGAGGAGATGCCTTGTACTGGAAAGGCTATGAAAGCATCAGTGAAAACCACATAGTATTCAGAGCAGACCAGAATCTCAAAGAGCAGCATGAAAAGCCAGATTGGCTTTGGAATGCCTTTGAACTTCCAAAATGAGGAAAACCTGAGGAGCGTGCCCAGAGGTTGAGTGCAGAATGATCAAAGTACTGCAAGGAGGCTCAGGATAAAATACCCCTATCCCATTCAGAGCTGTGCTGAACTCTATCCCTGACAGTGCAGCAACCTCCACTTTAGGCTCTGTGTTATGGGCAGCTAGAAACTGCAGTTCTGACTGGTTACATCAGCAGCAAAATTCTCTATGTCTATCATGGAAGAATCTTCTAGCTTTACACTGGGTTTAATTCATTTCTCCAGCAGCTTGCTATCTGCTCCTATTATATGACAGTCATCTAGAAGTTCATAAACTACAAGCTAGGCTTCAAGCAGGAACACTACTACAAGCATATGGGAAGGAAGAGAAAAACTCTGTATCTGGCAAGTATTAAGATAGCAGATAGCAAACAAATAGATAAGAATCTGGTCAAAGATAATGTGCCTAAAGTGCAATAGAACAGTTATAACTGAGAAAAAGCTTAAAACTCATCTGAAGCCAAGATGTGTAGCACTGTGCTGGCCTTAAGAGGCAAGCTGGGTCACCCAGCTCAGGGAAAGCGCTCCGCTATGTGGTTAACAATTCACAT